ACCCCTTGCTTAAATTTCTTTCAAGTTTCAAAGTCATCCCAGCCGTTTATCCCTCTGCAATACACATATTCCTACAACATCATGAGCGCCACCCAACTCCCTACATATGTGAAATTATCATCACTAGCCGCATCTTGTCCTCGGCTTGTTCGATTCAACTTAAGTGGCCTTCATCCACACATTCAATTAAAACCCCGCATGTTACTTTGGAGTCCACCACTTCCACTTTCCACACCGACCTCCATTGTTATCGATCCCTTATAATCCCAAGTTTCGGTCTGCACTTCTTTTCCACCCACTTGTCGCATTAAAACAGTTTGTACTGTTGCGCACTTCCCTCGCACACTTCCCTCGCACTTCCCTGCTTTCTAGATTGTCTACCGCGTTATTCTGTGCGTCAACCCATAGCTGCTGCCAACTCTAACTCATCGGTTTATACTGTTGTGGTAGTAGTTTGGTTGTAGTTTTGATCAACCGTATCGTTCTACGAGTCAACCCAACCCTTCCGACCCTTCCATGACTGCCGCCCTCAAAGTCTTTGTGCGTGATGCGAAGGTCTTCACTTCTCTCACTGCGCACTTCCTGCCCAAAGTCATTCCCTATCAACCTATCTGGGACCCCCGTGACAATCACGATTATTCTCCTGATGACAGTGAAAGGCCACTCAGTCCTTGCTGGGCGTATGCATCGCGTCCATGGTTTCCTGTCGTGCCTTTGAACCCGAGCTTTGATGGGCCCATCTTCGAATGCCTGAACCACACCAGGTTTTCTCTCCGCACAGAGGTCGATGCACAGGGCAAGCACATACTTCATCGCGACATCAGAGAAAGATGGTACGAGCTAGAGAAGAAATTGATCTGGTGCCAGGAGCGTTTGGGTGCCGGGATGTTCGTTCCGTGGGGGACTACACTTCCACCCCCTCCACATACATTTGGGTATCTTCGTTCACACGAGAATGCCAAACTCGCTGTAAAGGTCGCGCAACGCATTTTTATGTACGTCGATTCCTATCCTCATTGCACTGCGACTGATATTTTTCTAGTAACTGCCGCTGCCTGCACATGGCACATTATGAGTCGCCGATATCGAGGTTCCAATCGCCCCTGGATGTCTGTCTTGACCGATGACCGCGAGTGCCCCATACCGGCTGAATGGGTTCTCGAGTTATCGTGTTCGTTTGTGGGAGATCTGTCGGCCAATGTTCAACGCACCGGAGTGTTCATCTCCTCCATCCACTGCCCTTGGGAAGGGCAACTGCCCATGTTCGAACATTTCTCGATCCCAATATGGGTCCTCTGCACCGAGGGCGTGTCTGTCGTTGACCCTATGTTGCGTAGCTATATTCCCTTCCGGGAGGCTGTCACCTCTGCGACCGAGGCCCTACAATGGGGCCAAACACCAGCTGGCGGAGAAATGCAACCGGAGCCTGTCTTCGCATGGGGCGATGTAGATTCCTCATGGGGTCACGCTGACAATGGGTGTCAGAGCGGCGGAGAAAATCAACTCATCTCACTTGATTCCCAAGAAGAGGTGTCTCCCGTCCTTCTGTTTCCGGAGCCCGAACGCAACAGTGGACAGTTGCGAGGAGAAGATTGGCAGGTGTTCTTAGCGCGGCGCCGCGAGGGAAATATGAAAAGAGAGGAGAAAGAGACTCCAGCCCAATGGCAGTCATGTCTGAGCCACGCGACATCGGCGGGTAACCAGGATTACCCTGCCAAGAAGACCACGGTGTTCGAATGGCAGCCCCAAGAGGAGTATGATGGCTTTCATCTATGCATCCGCATCACAAAGAACGATATTCCCTCGGTGTGGAGGGAATACAGTGCAACTACAAGGACATATGACTCGTTTCATAACGAGTGGGACTTGTGTGATGAGTTGGATCCCACCAGTGTTCCTGATGGCGACTGGGAAGATGAAATTTTCGCTCCTCCTGCTCCTCCCACTCTACCTCCGGCACCGCCTCAACCTCCATCACGGACCAGTTTCTTGCAGGACATCAATCGATACTTCGGTCATCATGAGGTTGCATCCTCATTGAAGCTCAATCATGGCATTGAGCATTTTGTTTCAACATTACATTTCCGTCTCGGATTCCAACTCGCAGCATCGACCTCTACACCCCGAGGTAGATCGGCCATGTTTGAATCTTGGATCTGCAAGACGGAGTGGCTTCACCTATGCAGACTCGTCGGCGATGTAGGCATGGATGTCGCAACCATTCCGGACGCACAGAAGGAGATCATCACTTGTTTCATAGGTTACCTGGTCACGTTACCGGCATCTGGGTTATCTGAAATGCCAGCTGATCTCTGGGACTTAGGACCCGATCCTTCCCTAGCAGTCTCGAATGCGCACATTCGAGTTTCAAACGTGCAACTTCCCAAGCAACTGCTCTATGTAATAGAGCCAAGTCTATCAGCAAGTCTGGTCGTCTGGAAACTCGTCGTCACCGACGCTGCCACTGCTGTGATGTGCCTCCGGCGTGACTGGGGGTCTGACATCACGAAGATCGCGCTCAATCTCCTCCAAAAAGGAATCACTTTCAAGACATTGCAAGCCATGGCAGTCGCGCCTGACGCACGTCGCCCACTTACAGAACTTCGTTTATACTCGCCGACCTACACGCGCCCCCCTTGCAAGGCTGTTTACGCGGATTACGTCGTATATGAACAACATCACCACGAATTCATGAATCAGCCTCGTGCAAGAGCCGCACTTCTTCATGGCGGGCTCGTATGGAGGCTGGCTCTGCATAGCTTTGGTTTTGATAATCTCCCCTCCGTTCTCGAAGGAATTTCATGGGAAGCTGTACCATTCGGTCTCATGTTGCTCATCAATGACCAGACTTACTTCGACAATGAGTTGTCAGAGGAGGAGGTGGATTTTATGTGCGGCACATATTATTCACACAACGGCAAGTTTTTCTTTCTTACCGACAACAACACAAACACTTACATTTCGATAAATAGACGATGGCACTATGGACAAGGTCTCTTGGTGGCCTAGACCCCAGGCCTGGGCTGCCTCAGGGTTGAACGTGGGGTTCTGGTCCACACGATGCGAAGAGTGGTTCCAGAAACGCCTCGGCAACATTCGAGAGGGTGTCTCCAGAATCCGCAATACATGTGTCAACGACGATAACGGTCCAATGACCGCCACGCAGTGGAAACGTTCGCTCAAGTTTAATCCGGGCACCAACAAAATGATGAAGAACGTTGACGTGGCGTGTTCTCAATTCCTTGCCGACAATGCAACTGGTGAGAATGATTTTGTTGTTGTTACTTGTGCGTCTCTGAATAAACTTCTGCTTAGTTTTTGCAGAGTTTTAATATTATATTGTTGTATTCATGATTGCTATGTACGTCTGGGAATAACTGTAGTTGTACGAATGATGATTGTATAAATTGTGACCCATGGCCTCATACCGTGCGCCTCATACCGTGCAGCATACCAATCAAACGGTCAAGAGGGGTTGGTTGTCGTCGGCGCCAAGCTCAGCGGCAGAACCTCCTACATTCGCTGATGAAGAACCAGCCTTCAACGAATAACTCACCTCCTGAATGACAACAGTACACACCGCCATGCCATGCCAGGTAACGAGTTCGGGCCGTGAGCGGGCTACGATTGAATGATGGGCAGGCGATTGGCGGGCGATGATCGGGCGATTTATTTTATCTGCAGACAAAACTTCAAGTTTTGTCATGACATTCTGTCGCTGGCGTATACTTCAAATTTTCAGGGGCGTCTAATTGTTGGACAAATCTTGATACATAAGCAAGCATGTGATCATCTGCAAAACTTCAAGTTTCGTCTGAAATTTTACATGAAAATTAAACTTTAAATTGAAGCAGACGTAGAAAATCTGATTATATTTCTTATATTTGTTGACATATTGTCCGTGGGAATATGGTTGCGGGTGCTTGATATTTTGGATTACACATAAAACTTCGCCAAATTTTGAAGTTGTGCACCGATCTTTATGTTAGTTTAAATTTCAAATATTTTTTTCTCATTGTGTACAACATATAAACCTGTCCTAAATATCGATAACCCCGATGTGGTGCACGAATACAAACACTTGACGGTATTATTCATTCATTGTGAGCCTTGATTCATCGCCGTGCTTTGCTGTTGCCACAGGTAAGTATATCATAGATTCATGTATCCAACACTCGATACCACTGATCTGCGCCAACGCAGGTTGAACCCACACTGGAATTCCTGAGTCAAGACAGCGACTGCAACAGTTGAGCTTCTCGAACGACAGAATATCAACATCAAAACACATGGGAAGCATCTGTGCATTTGAAACACTCGCTCGGAGAACCACAAAAAGGGAGGATATACGGTGCAGCAACATTTTTATGGCAAGTCTTCTCGGTTATGGTGATTGCATCATCCAGGCTGAGGTTTTCCATGGGAAGATGGATAATGGAATGGTTACCGTGCGCTTCATCGCGTGAACATGCGATCATATCTGTATGTTGCGACATGCGACTACCTAGGATTTGTATTGTTGGCACCTCGTGAAGGTGGAACAAGGATTCTGAAGCAACAGTGTATTTTTACGATGGCTATGCATGTGTAAGCATCCGACTACGACGCGACTTTCGTAGCCTGCCCATGAATTTGTTGAGCATGATGAAGGTCCGACAATGGCGTTCTTTGCTCATCTGATGGACCACGCTTCTAGCTCGCAACCTTGACCGGCTCCTGCTCAAGTCGGTACTGCAAAACATCGCCGAAATACAATGGCCACTGACCGATGCTGTACAATCAGAAATCGGGCTTTTAGTATTGAGCTGGCCAGCGAGAACGAGAGCACACATGTTTGTTGCGATCCCATCATGCTCAAACCTGTATTAGATTGGTGGTTACCTGGTTTCATACGGAACACATCAACAATGGCGTTAGAAATAAGTTGCCAATATCACCAACGAGTGGAACTTTCCTGGTATCCGAGCAATGTCCGTGGTTCACAAATCAAATTCTATTTTGGGTATCGAGATTCGAGGAGCTTCCTCTTTTATTTGATTTTGCACCGCAATACTCACTTCGCCTTCTAGATCTTGTCTCCCATGTGCAACTTCCTCTTCGACCTTGGGATGTGGTATTTAACGAATATCAATCATGAATCAGGCCTCAGGATATCATCTGCCTGTGCAACACATCACCATCACATAAGTGCACAATGTATTGAATATGGTGCGCTTCGTATTGGATTCATTCTATGCTTACCTTCTCTTTGTTCATCGTTTTTGATATAATCATACTAGTAATAGCCCGATGATCCAAGTGTACGAGGTGCTGTGCCGCAGAATGGCCCTTGTTCCATAAGAGTACTTAATCGGAGGGCTGCTGTGCCTCAGGCTTGGCCAGTGAAGCCAAAGGGAGTGTTCGTACTTGTTTCGATCACATCATGCTTTGACCTGTGTTAGATCGCTGACTACATGATTCATAAGGAACTCCTTCATTTGTTCAGGCTTGCAGCAAAAACACCTCAAAAATCACATGGGAAATAAGTCATCTTCATCACCGATGACTGGAACTTTCCTGATGAAGTTCAAGTAGTCAACCGTAACGTGCGTAACACTGGTTCGGAAATCCACATTTATTTTGATTCGATCAAGAGATTCCACGTGCTTTTTGCTTCATTTGAGACTCAGGCTGTTCCACCCAATCAAGGGTCTTGAGGCGCGATCAAATATCCGTCACCATCATGCTGATTTTGGTGATACAAGGGCTGAACGTATATCTAGCACGAACGCTATCGTCATACACCACTGACATTCCCCACTCGTTCGGCTATCCCTCGAACATGACCTTCGTCTCAAATGGTCTCACTTACTGGCCGACAATCAATTTCATTATTTTTGTCAGCTATTGGGCAGGTTTGTCGCATCGAGATGTCTAGATCTAACGTTGACTTGCGGTTTTGCAGTTGCCGCGGGCGTTGTTGTGGTATACGATTGGGGTGAGAAGGACAGTGTTCGAGAATCGCTGATATTCTCATGTTGTTTCCAGTCTTAACGCTCGGACAAGAGGTACGTCGATGTTATCGCCGGAGGAGTTAACTCACTAAGAATCGTGTCATAGATTGAACTCATCTGGGTGAGTCACAAGAGTCCCGTATCAGAGGAAAACAAGAGCATGAAATGATTTCGCGACAGAGACAACGATGGTCTCTCATGACTGTGCTGTATTTGATTGTTCGTACCTCATGTTTTGCTTTAGCATGGTGGACAACTTGTGCTGACTCCAAAATGTTCTAGATACGCTATATTGGAATACCGTATTCTGTGTATGTGTCGAGATCAACAACTTTGCACTGTGCTAATAGCTCATATCTGACAATTAGTGTCAATGTTCTGCGTATGTCTCATATGCGCTGTGTTCCATTTTTTTGATCGGCGGCACACAGAAAATATGCCATCGGTATCGCTGACAGACGCAGTAAGTATTCCGCGGCCATCTCATTCCCATACAATCAATACGCTCATATGTAGGGGTGAGTGAGATTCCAACCATCGAACTTGGCTCGACATAATGACTCGATAGTTGTAAGTCGGAGTCTTTGATACTAGTGCGAGGGTGTTCACTAATTGAGAGTTTTAGGCACATACACGTACTACGCAATAAATGGGACAAATGTGGCCTTGGCTGCCATGTTGGGCGGTGAGTTGCTCAGGTGCAATACCTCTGTGATATTGATCTGACTGACACACGATGCAAGTGATCATGATTGCTCGGTTGCATGCCATGTATCAGGGATCTAGAACGATGCTTATCTTCCTTGTTATTGTCTTTCTGGCTATAGGCATCACCTGCGGAGTAATCGGGGCAATAGCACTCAACGAGACTGTGGCAGGTAAGGTTTACTTGTTGACCTGAAGAACACAGCTCATTGGACAAACACCAGAGGAGTTCATACTCTCTGGCACATATATGTGCAGTTATGTATTTGGAGGGGATGACCGGCTTCTTGTTTCGATGACTTGGATACTCAACACTGTTTGGGAGGTCCTCGCATTGTGTCTTTCAGTCTGGATTGCTGTGAAACACTTCTATGAGCTGCGACGACTCGGCCCATCGACAGGATCGACCATCGGGGACTATTTCAGAGTGCTGATACAATCTCACGTTCTTTATTTTGCAAGATGAGCTTGTAATGTGAACGCGCTTATATTTTTCTGCTCAAGTTCCGCGCATGTTAGCTTTGTTGGCGTCTCTTGTCTCCAGCTTGCTGCTTCCTCTCCAGAAATCTTGGTGCGCTGACCTGTTGCTGATATCTGCATGCAACCACTGCTCATCAGTTCTATAGATTTCGAATTCTATTGGAGCTCAGATACTCGATGGTGCTCTTGCAATTTTCTCGGTCGTGCAGATGTTTGTGCTGGGACCACGCCTCATCCTGAGCGTTCGAGAATACCACGCCAAACTCGTGGCATACTCCGACGCAGAAACTAGCATGAATTCGATTGTTTTTCAGGAGCATGTACATGTATCAACTAGCAGTACTGTGTAGGGAAATGGTTGTCGAGTGGTCTGCAGGGATGAGAAATTTGGTGGAGGATCCGTCGCGGTATTTATTTAACATATGGTGTTTCGAAGTATGTTTGAAAAGGTGTAGGCAAAGCTATTTCTTGTTATATCACTACTGGAACGAAGTACCCGTCCTCGAACCAAGCGGTAGGGGGAAAACGACTAGCAACCAAACTGGCCCTTGATGACCGATGTTGAAATATAACGAGAATCAGTAAAAGTGTCTTGACAGCTGATTCTGTGAGTTGGTGTTCCACTGTCTGGACATATAGACTGCGAATCGTGAAGCTAGGTGGCTGATAACTCATTAGTGCTCAGATGCGATTTCCTCCATCCGACGGGCAAAGGAGAATGAAAGGAATGAATTGCATAAACTCGTGGTTTTATTGTACCTCTTTCTTGCGAATGAATACGACAAGGATATGGGGTCCGCAGAGTGGAAAGTGGAATACCAGAAAATATCAAAATGCCTCAAGCGTACCTATCAAACTACTGATGAGGCCAGGGATCGACCACGATATTCTGTCAACAACCAATAGAGAAAGGAACTTGTGGGTGCCGGTGACCAGTTATATATCTATATATCGCATGCAGGCTGAGTTCCGGAGAGGGGTTATTCCAGCTGGTAGGTCCCGAGCCTAGCATCGATGACGAGATTGGGATATGTGTTCGATTATGAGTAACCCGCGTGATCGATACTATCGATAAAGCCCCGCAATGAATAGAAGCACAGTGGTTGAAAGAAGGATGGCCTAGAATTTGCCTAGAATGGTCAACGACATGAACGACAGCGAAAGTATGTGATCGGGAATTAGATCGCCGATTTTATCAGGATTCCAAATCGCAGGAATTAGACTCTCACATGTCTGGTTCGAGGCGTACCTGGGAAGCCCTAGAGTTTGCCTAGAGTAGCCAATACTCACTGCGGAAACGAGAAAATGCCCAGACTCTATCTGGATGTGGATGAGTCTTGTATCCAGACCCAAACTGCGCCTTGTAATGTATCTGTACGCAAACCAGACTTGAGTAATTTGGAGGTCGCAGCTTTTTGACTTTGGATAAAAACGGACCCACGGTTAGAGGTGACACGGTGTAAACACACCCAAACCAGACCACAGACATACGTTCTTACCACCAAACCATACACGTCCGAGTAGCGTTCTAAACCAGACACTAACCAGGCTACAGGTATCCTCAAAAGATGTATCCGGACGTTGGGATAGCCCAAAGGGTCAAGTCACCACAAAAAATCGCCAAGTCCTTTTCTTTCGCATCCAAATCATGCCGCTCATGTTCGAAGACAACACCATACGCCTTGAACTACCTCTCAAGTACCCTGAAACGATACGTGTCACGTTTATTCCAGACGTACCTGGGCCCCTCGTATGTTGTTTTTTTATTATTGTCGAAAATTAGCGTCTCATGTTGCTAGACAATCGAAATCGTACCGTCCACTTGCACCATCACGAGGTCTCCCGAGACACCCAAGGAAAAAGGTATGTGCACATATTTTTTTGCGTCAGATGTTGCTGAGATGTTTCTAGCACTTCCCCAACACCAGCGCACATTTATTGGGCCAGGAACTGACAACTCTCCTACAAAACTACCCGTCCCCACGACACCCATCGGTAACGTTGTTTTCCATCCTCCGACAACTCCCATCGCTGATATTCCTGCCCCAGATGATAGTGTTACGGAGCCTGAGTCTGAAGTAGAGCCAGGAACTCCTGGTGTGGCCGCAGACAAGGTTTGTTATTTTATATCTTACTACTTTCTGCCTGTTCATTTTTTTTCAGACTGTCGTAAACACGAGCGCCGGTATCAAACGTCCAGGCAGTCCCCTTGTTTCACACAAATTCCGTACTACTAAATACTGAATATTTGTTCTGTATACATGCGAATGATTATATACTAGCTTGAGCACATGAAGATCATGTGATTTGTGACGCGTCGAAAATCATGCGCGGCTTCACCAGCCTCACCTTGCCTTAGCTTTATACATTCATCTGTAAACACCTTTGCCCTCGACACGGCTCGTCAGCAAGATATTCTCCCAACAAATGCGACAGAAAAGGTGTCACTGCCAGGCTTTCAAGTGCAAAGGAGCCCTCATAGAAGAGCACACAGCGCGTGCTCACGCACGGCGTGATCTGCGAGAAAAAACGGTCGCATCACAGGCTGAATTCAGGCGGGTTGGAGAACGGTTTGTGCCAAGTGCTGCACAGGACACTAGGCCAGTTCTTCGTGGGTATTCAGTTCCTTTGCACGAGCCACAGCCCCTCTTGTCTCCCAATGCTCAATTTCAGGACCCACGTTGTATTTCGGAATCCCCTGTTGAACAGGAAATGCTAGACTATGGTCTTCTCACTGGAGAAGACTTGGACCTCATGACTCATGGAATCGCTCTGCCAAATCTCGGACCGAATTTCCATAGTCCTGAAGCATTACTCGACGCTGTTGACCATTTCGGCGCATATAATGCCGCTACCAGTTCGGGCTCACGTCCACTCACCTCATATGAAGCCCATCACCTCCCACCTGACCCAGAACAGCACGCATTAAATCGGCAAATCGAAGATGCTTTTGAGGCGGTCCAAAATGAGGGTGGTAATGAGCATGGTTTTGATGATTTAGACATTGATGTTGATGGAACATTCGATGATCAAAATGAGGACGACGACAACCTCGTAATAACACCCATGAATCCAGACGAGGATGACCCCGATCCATTTATGCCGGAGGACGGTTTCAACATGACCAATCCAGTTTGGGTGCCAGGTCTTCAACGTTTGGTCATCTTCCCCAGTCTCGTAAGCTTCACCACTTTCTAATGGCTTCACACGTGTTAATGCGTCTGCTCGTTTGTTCCTCCCTAAGGATGACTCAATGCCACAAAGATCAGCGAACATTGGCTGTATCAAACGCTTCATGACAGGTGAGTTTCTTTTATGTGTGGTTGTCTTCAAACACTTACTTTTAATGCAGGGTGTTCATTTGAAACATGCTTACTGGCTGCCTTCTTCTCTGCCGGCTTCTCAGTTAGGCTCTTGAGGGCGATATCATGTTCGTCAACATGCAAGGTGAGAGCTTCGTGCATAGCTGTCAGCCGCTCATGAGCAACTGACATCTGTGCATTATCGAGGCAGATTCGTTGACTCGTGTTTGACAAGCGTTCATTTGACTCTGTCAATCTTGCGACTTCAGAGACGAGGCGTGCAACAGTTGCATTGAGGTCCTGAACTTGATCCTCAAGTGTATTGGGAACGTGCTGGTAAGGATCCATTCGCAGTGGTGCTACTTGTTGAGGCTGACGAAATGAGTAGATATGCTGGTACCCCCCATCATGAGAACCATTCGGGGCCTGTGATTGTGACCGCGATGATGGCTCACTGCCTGTGAACGGGGTGAGTGAGTTATGGCCATGGTATGGTGTTTCATGCTGAGGGCCTCTCATCAGCGGTGCTGGCGTTTGTTGGCCTGAATCCTGCTGTAGCCCGCCTGAAAAAAATTTGTCTACCTGTGGCAGCATGTGGTTTCCAGGGAATAGCGGCGACGGGCGAGGTGCTGGTCTCCGGTAAGCTTCTGTGATTTGTTGTTGACCACTATCCTGATCATAGCCGCCAGTATTTTCACCCGGAATTGGGATAGCACCACTGGGGCGACGCTGAGTGTTATTGGTATACATCGGGTGCTAGAATGAGGGGAAGGAGGGAAGGGAATTGTTACCTAGGATGACCTGCGATAGGGAGCGCGGATCCCTAACCATAAAAGGCGCGATTGTAATCCTACTTTAATCAGACTTCTATCTGCCTGATAATCAGAAGCAAAGCAGCCATGCGTCCCCCTGATAACCAGATGCAAAGCAGACCACAGACCTGAAATTCAGATGTAATTTGTATACCGGGTTAGATGTAAGAGCGGCTATCCAACACGAGCCCACATTATCTAACCCACCTCGGGATTTGATCTCAAACGGTCACCATTCTCCACCTTAACCGGTGAGGATTCACACAATTGCCATTCTCTGGATATAGTATAGTTATTGTTACTACTTCTACGTCAACCCTATCGGGTTATTTTGTCGTTTCCGCAGTGACTGTAGTACTTTTCCTCTCTGACGGCACTTCTCCATAATACTCACGGCTTGGCTTCCTCATACCTTGCAACAATCCATTCAAGTTTTCCGTTCACCAGTGGCGTGGCTTTTTAGCGCATCATGGGTATTGCAATACACTTCATGTGCACCAATGGTGGTGTGCCGCTTCAGAATGGAGTGAATTGCATCATGTATGAAAATAATTTAAAATGTGAGAGATCTTGAGCCACCGCTAGAGTGACTACGACAATTTTGAAGATACACACATTGATCACAGTCACTCTGTGAGGAGCACCAAGTGTCCCACTCCTCCAGACAGCACACTGCCCAAACCGTGCATCGAAGGATCCTTGCGATCTGCCGAGTCCAGATAGGTGATATAAGGAAGTCCACAAATTCTTCTCCATTCATCTGTTTGAGTACAAAGCATGCAATATCTAGATGAGTGGTCGTACGGATGTTACAACTATCGGGTCGTTGAGATAAAGCAACGGTGCTGTGTCATGCAAAGTTCAACGATATCAAATGTAATCAGTTTTAAGAAAGAAACCAATGGCTCGAGTATGTCACGAATGTGTATGCCAAGAACACCATAGGTGGCGAGTGGTGAGTAGAGAACAAATTCGGGGCTTCAAGTCAGAAGGCACAAAGCGCACCTGCAAAAGTATCAGTGAGACGCCGATCATCAAATTTTAGGACTCTGGCATACATACTTTGATCAGAGTAACGTTGCAATCATGTGTCAGATGTGCATTAGGGCTCTTGGAACGATCTGTTTCAATCCCGCCAAATAGCACGACTGTGAGTAACGCACCGTGCGAGGTGCATACATACAATACACCCGCTGATAGTAATCAGAGTTGCTCTAGTACGAAGAGATAACCATTAGAAAGTATTCAATCTTCAACAGGTCATTATCTTCTCACCGAGGTAGTACATGAACGGCGTGTCTGGATCTGAGCACGACAGCCGATAGACCACATTCCACACTTGCGAAAATTATCGTCTGTCAGCTATTTGAACACAAAGTCTGGTAGCAGAAGGTGTGCGCACGATCTATGGAAGCTCAAATAGCTTGCGACGCAATGGCTCTGTTGCATCTACTGTGTCATCATCCGTCTGAGCCATTCGGTTAAGGCGCGATGCGAGCATTCCACAGACCAAGGAAAGTAGAAGGAGCGTGTCCGAGCTCAGATGGCTGATAATATTCCTTGAATTTGACACATTCATGAATGCCCTGGATTATCATATACCTGAGTACGAAACAAGAAGCAAAAAAAAAGCACCAAGAACTGACAGAGATTGCGGAATCGTGCGTTGGGCATATACGGCCTGTCGAAGTTTTACTAGTAGTATGTCCGTCAGTGTGGATTGTCGAACGAAATTATGATATACGTACATCAATGCAATTCGGAGTGTCTTGGAGTAGCGTGTCAAAGCCCAGGCGGTCGATGAAGAAGATACCTTAAGAGTGAACGAAAGCAACTTATCATCTGTCTGAGAAAAAAATAATGGTCATGATTAATAAAAGCCAAATGGCCGATGACACCATGATATTGAAGAGGTTATCACAGCATGGCCTTATCGGTCACCTGGACGAACCAACAGAGAGTGAAGGGCTAGAAAAGGAAAAGTAGCGTGTCTGTGATAAGGTAGTTGATAGAAGAGAAAAAAAACTCACTATGATGTGTCCGAGCTCAAAAAAGGGTGGCCTCCAGAGCGGTAGCAGAATGTTCCTGAGCGTGAGGAAGAACTTGAATGTGTTTGGAGGATCTGTCACAGGAGCAACCGTGCTTTAGTCTCGTGTATATCTTTAAGTACTATGTAGGCAGACCAAATACGATAGTCGTTCATTCTAGCTTCAATGGCATAGTGCCTGTCCGTGGAGCTTCACGCACAGGTCGATTCTCGTCTTCCATGACCGATGCAAGTGAGGCAACAGGAAAGCGTGCGAGTTCCTGAACGGCATTGCTTGCAGAATACAGCATTTGGCTTGGTTCATTTTTTGACTCCGCAAATTAAACGCCGAAGGTACGCCGCGGACTTTGATTAAAATTTAGACAAGCTTCAACGTTTCAAATTTCAACGCTGGCCGCGAACACATGCAAAACACATGGAAACCCCGTCTCTTGTGTAATGATGCATTATGTTTGGTGCGTGAATGCAAACACTTCGACAGTATTATTCATTAATTGTGAGCCTTGATTCATCGCCATACTTTGGTGTTGCCACAGGTAAGTATATCATAGATTCATGTATTCAACACTTGACGGACCTACACTGGAATTCCGAGACAGCCACTGTAACAGTCGAGCTTCTCGAACGACAGAATATAAACATCAAACCCTATTGGAAACACCTAACAATATCTGTGCATTTCAAACGCTCGGAGAACCACAAAAAGGGCGGATATACGGTGCAGCAACATTTTTATGGTAAGTTTTCTAGGTTATGGCGATTGTATCATCCAGGCTGAGTATTTCCATGCGAAGATGGAGAATGGAATGGTTACTCTGCGATCCATCGCGTGAAGATGCGATCCTGTCTGTATGTTACGACATCTGACTACTTCGGATTTGTATTGTTGGCACCTCGTGAAGGTGGAATAAGGATTCTGACGCAACGATGTATCTGTACAATGGATATGCATGTGCAAGCATCCGACTACCATGCGACTTCCATAGCCTGCCCATGAAATTGCTGAGCATGATGAAGGTCTGACAATGGCGCGTCTGATGGTCCTCGCTTCTAGCTCGCAACCTTTACCGGACCCTGCTCAAGTCGGCACTGCAAAACATCCCTGAAATACAATGGCCACTAACCGAGGCTGTACAATCAGAAATCAGGCTTTTTGCCTGTTGCAGGCTTTTCGTCTCCCATGTGCGATTCCTCTTTCGACCTAGTATGTATGGCGTTTTATATTTAACAGGTATAAATCATACAGCATGAGTCACGATGTATCCGCAAGTGCAATGCATCACCGTCGCATCAAGCGCACGATCGGATCCACCGAATAGAGTGCGCTGTTGTGTTTGTTCTCTGACTTTTGCCATACTACAGAACGCGACCTTGTTACAGAAAGCAATCAGGGGAGCTAATAGCAAGTCTCGATCTTGGCCTGCGAAGCTAAGAGAACACAGATGCTCATTGCGATCGCATTACGGTTAGATTGATGGCCACATGGTTTCATACTGAACACCTCGGAAATGGCATTGGAAATAAGTTTGCGATATCACTGACCACTGGAATTTCTCTGGTGTCCGAGTAGTCGCATGCGTGGTTTGTAAATCAAATTCCACTTTGATTATCCAGGGTTTGATTTCGAACCGTTTTACCAGATCAAGGGTCTTGAGGCGGATTCAAATATACATCTCCATTATACTCATTTTGGCGATAGAAACGCTGAACGGTGGTATATCTAGCACGAACGCTCTCATTATACACCACTAACCTTCCCCACTCACTCACACCCATCCCCTGAACATGACCTACGTCTCAAATGATCCCAGTTACTGGCCGCATATCAGTTTCAATATTTTTGTAAGCTATTGGACAGGTTTGTCGCATCAAGATGTCTGGATCCAACATTGACTTGCGGTTTTGCAGTTGCCGCCGGCGTCGTGGTGGTATACGATTGGGGTGAGCAGGACAATGTTCGAGAATCGCTGATGTTCTCATCATATTTCCAGTCTTAACACTCCCACAAGAGGTACGTCGATGTTATCGCCGGAGCAGCCATCTCACTAAGATGGGTGTCATAGATTGAACTCGTCTGGGTAAGTGACAAGAGTCCCGTATCAGAATCGGAAAACAAGAGCATGCAATGAATTCGCGACAGAGACAACGCTGGTCTCTCATGACCGTGCTGTATTTGACTGTTCGTACCTCATGTTATGCTTTATTGTGGTGGGCAACTTGTGCTGAATCCAAAATGTTCTAGATACGCTATATCGGAATACCGTATTCTCTGTATGTGTCGAGACCAACAACTTTGCACTGTTCTAATGGGTCCTCCATGACAACTAGTGCCAGTGTTCTGCGTATGTCTCATATGCGCTGTGCTCCATTTTTCTGACCGGCGAGACACAGGAACTATGCCATCGCTATCGCTATCACTGACAGATGCAGTAAGTATTCTGCAGCCATTTCATTCCCATCCAATCAATACGCTCATATGTAGGGGTGAGTGGGCTTCCAACCATTGAACTTGACTCAACATAATGACTCGATAGTTGTAAGTCGGAGTCTTTGATACTAGTGCGAGGGCGTTCACTCATTGCGAGTTTCAGGCACTATCACATACTACGCAACAAGTGGGACAAATGTGGCTTTGACTGCCATGTTAGGAGGTAAGTTGCCCAGGTGCAATACCTCTGTGATATGGACCTGACTGTCACACGATGCAAGTCATCATGATTGCTCGGTTGCATGCTATGTCTCAGGGATCTAGAACGATGCTTATCTTCCTTGTTATTATTTTCCTGGCTGTGAACATCGCCTGCGGAGTAATGACGGCAATAGCACTCAACGATGCTGGAGCAGGTAAACTCTACTTGTTGACTTGAAGAACACGGCTCATTGGACAAACACCAGAGGAGTTGATACTCTCTGGCACGTATATGTGCTATTATGGAATTGGTGGGGACGAGCAGCTTCTGTTTTCGATGACTTGGACGCTCAGCACTGTTTGGGAGGTTCTCGCACTGTGCCTTTCAGTCCGGGTTGCTGTGAAACACTTCCGTGAACTGCGACGACTCGGCCCATCGACAGGATCGACCATCGGGGACTGTTTCAGAGTGCTCATACAATCTCACGTTCTTTATTTTGCAAGGTGAGCTTGTAATGTGAACGCGCTTATATTTTTGTGCTCAAATTCCGCACATGTTAGCTTTCTTGGTGTCTCTTGCCTCCAGCTTGCTGTTCTCTCCCCAGAAATCTTGGTGCGCTAACCTCTTGCTGATATCTGTGTGCAACCACTGCTCATCAGTTCTATAGATTTCGAATTCTATTGGAGCTCAGATACTCCTTGGTACTCTTCAAATTTTATTGGTCGTGCAGATGTTTGTGCTGGGACCACGCCTCATCCTGAGCGTTCGAGAATACCACGCCAAACTCGTGGCATACCCTGACGCAGAAATTAACATGAATTCGATTGTTCTCCAGGAGCATGTACATGTATCAACTAGCAGTACTGTATAGAGAAATGCTTGCCGAGTGATCTGCAGGGAGGAGACATTTGGTGGAGGATCCGTTGTGGTATTTATCTAACATATGGTGTTTCGAAGTATATTTCAAAGGTCCAGGGAAACCTATTTATTGTTGTATCACTACTAGAACGAAGCACCCGCGCCCGGACTAAGTGGTAAGGTGAAATCATCCGGAATCACTAGCAACGAAACTGATCTATGATACGTTTCGATAGTATACTAGTAGTGCTTGTCCGTCGAACTTCACGCACAGGTCAATTACCGTCTGCCATGTCCGATGCGAGTGAGGTAACGAGAGAATGGTACAAGTGGGACTTCCGGAATGGCAGCTAATGCTTAGCACCAATTTTTCGGCAAACACCGGTAGCACACCCAAAGCTTACTTGTTTGATTGCCAGTGATTCATTGTGCCCAGTATCGTGTGTCTTCACCCTCCTGCCTCAAAGTAATCAGTTATTTCTCTGGACTATGGGCATAACCAGCAGTGCTTTACTGAACACAGCCGGTGATCAACGTACTTCAGCAAACAAGTCTCCGTGCGCCTGCAACCACAGTGAAATAGGCCCTGCCACTAGGTCACGCAGTCACCTATCCTATAACCACTCTATTTCCTCGCCCCCGACTGTGTATTCGGTGCGTCAATTGAGCTGTAGCCTGTGATTCGCTATTCGCTGTCACAAACTGTTTGTTTGCAAAGCACCGCGACCATTCTGTATTTATAACAACAACGCATCCCACGACCGTCAAAGCATTTTTGAACTTTGACCCTTCGACAAGCTATTTTTTACCATTGTTTCCGTTTCTTCGTCAATAGCAATTCGAAAGCCTTAATTTGTCGCCGTAATTAGTGTCGCCACAGGTAACTATATCATAGCTTTCATGTATTTAACACTCTATAGCACTGATCTGTTCCGACACAGGATGACCCTACACAGAAACGACGGACCCCTCTCACTCTTACAGCATGAATGTTTACTGAAACATGATGTCATCGATATGAGCCTGTACCATCAGAAATCGGCCTTCTGGCGTGTTGCACCTTTATGGTCTCCCGCGTGCAATTTCCCCCGATAGTGTCGTATAATTATTCAACATCTATCAATCATAAATCAGGAGGTATCTGGCAGTACAATACACCTACATCACCATGACATCAAGTGCGCTTTGTATCGAATTCGCTCTATCCTTACCGTCTCTTTGTTTCATCGTTTCGATAACATTATGATAGCCCAATGATTCAAGCGCACCAGGCGACGGATGAGGTGAGATATATTTGATCCACTCTGTCACAGTTTCTTGTCTAAGTTCCGCAGAATGACCCTTGTTCCATAAGAGTACTCGGAGGGCTGTTACGCCTCGATCCAGCGATGCCGAAGAGTGTGTAAATACACGTTTCACGCATATCACACTTTGACCTGTGTTAGATCGATGACCACATGATCTCATAGGGAACTTCTTTATTTTTGCAACCTTGCAGCAAAAAATCGCGTTCCAAATAAGTTGCTGACATCTCCGACGACTGGAACTTTCCTAGTATCCAAGTAATCCCGTGCGTAATACTATTTTGATTTCCGAGGGTTTCTTTTTGATTAATTTCGCACCGTTTCACCCAATCAAAGGTCTTGAGGCTGGATGAAATATCCATCTCGATCATGCTGATTTTGGTAATACGAGCGCCGAACGGTGGTATATCTAGCACGAACGCTGTAGTCATACACCACTAACCTTCCCTCACTCACACCCATCCCTCGAACATGACTTACGTCTCAAATGATCCCAGTTACTGGCCGACAATCAGTTTCAACATTTTTTCCAGCTATTGGAACGGCTAGTCGCATCATGATGTTTTAGATCTAACATTGACGTGTAGTTTCGCAGTTGCCGCAGGCGTCGTGGTGGTATACGATTGGGGTGAGCAGGACAGCGTTCGAAAATCACTGATGTTCTTATGATATTTCCAGTCTTAACACTCGGGCAAGAGGTATGTCGATGTCATCGCAGCAGCCAACTCGCTAAGAATAGCGCCATAGATTGAACTCGTCTGGGTGAGTGACAAGAGTCATGTATTACAAGAAAACAAGAGCATACGATAAATTCACGACAGAGACAACGCTGGTCTCTCATGACCGTGCTGTATTTGATTGTTCGTACCTCACGTTGTGCTTTAGCGTGGGGGGCAACTTGTGCTGAATCGAAAATGTTCTAGATACGCTATATTGGAATACCGTATTCTGTGTATGTGTCGAGATCAACAACTTTGCAGTGTGCTAATAGCTCATCTCTGACAATTAGTGTCTATCTTCTGGGTATTGTCTCATATGCGCTGTGTTCCATTTTTCTGACCGGCAGGACACAGAAGTTATGCCATGGGTATCGCTGACAGATGCAGTGAGTATTCTGCAACCATCTCATTTCTATCCAATCAATACGCTCATATGTAGGGGTGAGTGAGATTCCAAGCATTGAACTTGGCTCAACATAACGGCTCAATAGGTGTAGGTCGGAGTCTTTGATTCTAGTGCGAGGGCGCTCACTAATTGGGAGTTTCAGGCACTATCACGTACTATGCACTGAATGGCACAAATGTGGTCTTGACTGCCATGTTGGGCGGTAAGTTACCCAGTGCAATACCTCTGTGATATTGACATGACTGACACACGATGCAAGTGATCATGATTGCTCGGTTGCATGCCATGTATCAGGGATCTAGAACGATTCTTATGTTCCTTGTTATTATCTTCCTGGCTGTAAACATCGCCTGCGGAGTGATCACAGTAATAGCACTCAACGATATTGTACTGGGTGAGCTTTGCTTGGTCACTTGAAGAACATGGCTCATTGGACAAACACCAGAGGAGTTCATACTTTCTGGCACATATGTGTGCGGTTATGCACCAGGATATGATGGGGACGAGCGACTTCTGTTTTCAATGGTTTCTATTCTCAACACTGTTTGGGAAGTCCTCGTGCTGTGTCTTTCAGTCTGGGTTGCTGTAAAACACTTCCGTGAGCTGCGACGACTCGGCCCATCAACAGGATCGACCATTGGGGACTGTTTCAGAGTGCTAATACAATCTCACGTTCTTTATTTTGCAAGGTGAACTTGTAATGTGAATGCGGTTATATTTTTCTGCTAAAGTTCCACACATGTTAGCTTTGTCGGCGTCTCTTGCCTCCAGCTTGCTGTTCTCTCTCCAGAAATTTGGGTGCGCTGACCTATTGCTGACATCTGTGTGCAACCACTGCTCATCATTTCTGTAGAGTTCAAATTCTATTGTAACTCTGATACTCGGAGGTGCTCTTCAAATTTTATCGGTCGTGCAGATGTTTGTGCTAGGACCACGCCTCATCTTGGGCGTTCGAGAATACCACGCCAAACTCGTGGCATACTCCGACGCAGAAACTAGCATGAATTCGATCGTTTTCCAGGAGCATGTACATGTATCAACTAGCAGTACTGTGTAGAGAAATGCTTGTCGAGCGGTCTGCAGGGAGGAAAAATTTGGTGCAGGGTCCGTCGTGGTATTTATTTAACATATGGTGTTTCGAAGTATGTTTGAAAAGGTCTAGGCAAATCTATTTATTGTTGTATCACTACTGGAACGAGATGCCCGTCCTTGAACCGAGTGGTAATGTGGAACGACTAGCAACCAAACTGATCCTTGATGACTGATCAACCAGAATCAGTAAAAGTGCCTTGACAGCTGATTCTGCGCGTTGGTGTTCCACTGTCCGGACATATAGATGCTGCGAATCGTGAATACAGATGGCTGATAACTCATTAGTACTCAAATCCTCCATCCGATGGGCGACAGAGAATGAAATGAATGTACACTCATGGCTCGACTGTACGTCTCTCTCGCGAATGAGCATGACAAGGATATCGGATCTGCTGAGTGATGAGTGGAGAAGAAGAAAATTTCAGAAGGCCTGAAGCGTACCTATCAAACTACTGATGAGGCATCGACTGCGATATTCTGTTGGAGCCCTCGCTAAGCACGACTATCAGAGTCAAGCACCGAACGAGATACAGACCATGCATACACACACCCGTTGACATGGATCACAGTCCTAGGGCTCACTTGAAAGAAGTATCTGATAGAGTGTGAATAACGGGAAAATTCGAAGATACTTTGCAGGAAGGTTGAAGGGTAGCGTGATGTCTCGCACGTAAGCTGTTGCAGCGACCAATAAGGGTGGGTGCCGGTGACGGGTGATATATTTATATATTGCACGCAGGATTTCCGGAGAGCGGCTATTCCTGCAGGTACTATCGATACAGACGCGGGGTGCGTCGATGGCGGGATTAGGATACGTGTTTGATTATGGACAACCGGCGTGATGGTTAAAGCTTAAGCCCCGCACCAAATAGAACCACGAATGGATGCCGGGCTAGATAAGGCATGTAGGATGATACGAATCCTGGAAGACGCACATTAGGACGACGACACGAACGACAACGAAAGCATGTCATCGGGAATCAGATCGCCGATTTTTGTTAGTATTCTTATTTATCTAGATTGAGGGAATTGATGAGTTAAAACCTTGTTAGAACCCACATGTCTCCGGTCCAAGGTGTGCCTAGTTGGGAGGCCTTAGAGTGGCTGACCTCCTCGCTGATGGCCCTTCTCCGCGAGGTCTACCTTCGATAGCATTTATGAGCCGAGCTGTTTCTGCGAAATGAGTGTAGGATCGCGGATATGAGCGGAATGGACCTAAGACTTTTGAAGGTCAATTTTACATAATCAACCTACAAACTCACTTTAGCTTACACAGATAGTTCATGAAGGTTTCCGTCGACCAATGGCTACGAGAGATGTCGAGCAACGACTAGAGTGACTACGACAATCTGAATGTTGAAGATACATTGATCGCAATCGCTCTGGAGTGCGTCCCACCCAGCGACTCCCCAGCATGCCGCCCAAACCGTTCATGCAGGATCGCCGAGACCCATCCTACCATCCATCTGGGCTGCAGAAAAGTAGTAACGAATCGTGCGTGAAGAGTGGATGTAGGATGTAGGATGTAGGATGTAGGATGTAAGATCGGCGAGTCATGGGATCGTCTGATATCCAGATCAGTTGAATGTTGCTACTGGCATGAACCCACACATCGCTGAAATATATCAATGATGATTGTCTGTGTGAAGTAAAAACGATGACGAGCCAAGAACTGACCATTTAGCGAGTGATTTGAACACCCAGATGACCGATGACACCATGACGTTGAAGTACTCAGACAGCTAGATAGTTGCGTCGAGGGGCGAGCACACAAGGCTGAGCGCTGAGCGTTGAGTCCCGGACGAAAGCCAATGGACAACAAGCGGGCTTGAGTCGGGGGGGAGGTCGTCAGTGACTGGGATGAGCTCGTTAAATAAAGGGACGGGATCGCTACGAGATGGGAAATATCGTAAAATGCTTATCTGGACCAGGCATGTGGAACGCAATGTAAAAGTTCCATGAACCAGAGAAGAAGTTCGTCTGTTCGCGCGCGATAAGGCATGGATGATGCAAATCCTGGAAGACGCACTTTAGGACGACGTATGTCATCGGGAATTAGATCGCCGATTTTGTTATTCCGTTTTTTATTTATCCGAATTGAGCGAATTGAGCACCTAACTAAGGTGGTGCGCCGCTTCAGAATGGAGTGAACTGCATGGGGAAGAACTTTGATTGGAAGAGATGTTTTGCCTCGGCAAACGCCGAAGGTAGCGCCGCGGGCTTTGATTAAACTTTAGACAAACTCCAACATTTGGCTGCAAACTCATGGAGACCCCACCTCTTGTGTATTATGGTTGGTGCGTGAATACAAACACTTGACGATATTATTCAGTCATTGCGAGCCTTGAGCTTCATTTATCGCCGTGCTTTGGTGTTGCCACAGGTAAGTGATGGACCTACCCTGGAATTCCGGAGCCAAGACAGCCACTGCAACAGTCGAGCGTCTCGAATGACAGAATATCAACATCAAAAACCCATGGGAAACACCTGACAATATCTGTGCATTTGAAGCGCTCGGAGAACCACAAGCGGATATACGGTGCAGGAACATTTGTATGGCAAGTCTTCCTGGTCATGGCGGTTGCATCATCCAGGCTGAGTATTTTCATGCGAAGATAGAGGATGTGATGGTTACCGTGTGCTTCATCATGTGAAGATGTGGTGCTATCTGCATGTCGTGACATGTGACTGTTTCGGATTTGTATCTTTAGCACCTGTGAAGGTGGAATAAGGATTCTGTTACAAGTAACATCGGTCACGTGGCCCCCCTATCATTTTCCCTTCATCCTCGCCCTCACCATCTACCGCCTCGTCCTCCTTTACCGACTTTCCGTTGACCGAATCCTCGGGACCGTTCCCGTCCCTCGCATCGCCCGCCTCTATGCACGTGCATGCACATTCCTCCACTGATTCGACCACCAATGTGGTCCCGCACCTATGACTCGGACTGACTCGTGCCACCAACATGGCTTTCCTCTTTCTGTTCCTTCTGACTGCGGATTCCCGCACGTTGTATTCTTACCGTTGGTCCGTTCCAACGTTTCTCGGTCTCATTCCACGTTCGACCACCCATCACTAATCCGGCTCTGTTGCCAATGCACCTATACCATTCTCGTTTCCCCTTTACCCTTACCTACTGTGCGGTAGCCTTGCCCTTAACCCTCTCCACTTAGTATAAGTAGTCGGTTACCCTGTACTAGATTCTCTAACTTGAATCTACTCAATCTTCCCTGGAACATACTTCCCTCTGAACGCCCCTTTGGCTTCAGTCTCTAGTATCTTTTCTTAGTTGCTCATCGCAACTAAGTCTACCTCGATCGACCTCATCGTACGGACAAGACAGTCCTTACCTTGAGCGACTTCACAGACATCCGTCTACGAAGTTATGTGACACACGCGTACTGTGATCGCTGCCGACTCGTCGTCGCCAGTCTCACTTGCTATACCGGATCCTTCCGGTTATGTCACGAACGTTAGCGGACGACGCCCCTCTTAGGGCTCCGCCTAACAGATCTATTTGAGTGCATAACAAAAGATTCAAGTTTCACCTTGAAGCCCCGCCATCCGCGCGGCCCCCCATTGATTAACAGACACCACGACTACTTGGATCAGGAAGTACCCTTGGGAACGCGACCCCAACACTCCTGACTCCGAAACCGAAGAATCAGAAGCAGACCACACGTCCTCTGACGAGTTTCCCGACGAATCACCATATGGCAACCTCAACTCGAACCCCAGAACAAGAATGTCTGGAGGCACCACCCAACCGATGACTACGACCAAGCCTGAGATTAAGGCTGGTTCACCTCAGAATTTCGAAGGGAGCATCGACGATGCTGCAAGATGGCTCTACTCTGTAGAGACATACTTCCTCATCAACCCGACGATCTACAACACCGACCAAGTCAAGGTCGCTGTTGCCCTCCAATATATGACTGGAGGAGATGCACGCATCTGGGCGGACAACTTTTACCAAGAAGCCTTTTCCAAGACGCCGACGGACTTCGGCACCTTCAAGGACTTCAAAACCCAGTTCAACGCCTCCTTCCAGGCCATCGACCGACAAACCGAGGCTATGACCAAGATCCAATGCCTTGTACAGACTGGGGACGTCACGCTGTTACGACAAACGGTCGTGTGCGACTAGGATGATCTAAACAGCGACAACCACGACAGTGGTACCGAGTGCTGAGAGTCGTCGGCCTTTACAGACAAGCAAAGGTTGCGTACTCGAACGTAGCTCGTGGTGGTTAACGAGGGGTTACGCTGAGATGATAGCGGGTTTACAGACAGTGAGAGGCATCACTGAAGGTACGAGTCGATGTCGAGCAAGTAGCTTTAGCGGGACAAGGAGTTCAAGGGTAAACCTAGTAAGATTAAAGTAAGGAACGTCTACTGTTAATCTTCGACCTTATATAAGGCTACTCTTCGTATCTAAGCTCAGCCTACAGCTGGGTTCTAATCTGCTTATCTACATGAGTCAGAGATAGCGTCCATGAGGCGGGCTTCTATCATAGATAGGATCCATGAGGCATCCTTCTATCAGTACATGAGGCAGCACGAGGCTTGCCTTCTATCTTGATAACATAAATAGGTCTTCTAGACCTATGTCATCATGTGTCGTCACGTGCGGTCCAGACCGCTTATCGTCTATCATCATCTATCATCATCTATCGTCATAGAGCTGGTGAGACTCCGGTATCATCTATAGCCGTGCGGTGGCAGAGGGCTGTTCTGCTGGCAGGGGACTCATGCCATGTTACTGTAACACATGCCCTACATCGCAGCCTTCAAAACCTACGCCGTCACTGCCAGTATCAAGCAGGACATCACGCTCATCCATTTCTTTGAGCGAGGTTTAAAGGCTGGCCTTCGCACCGCTATCTACGCGAAGGAGACCGTCCCCACCACCATCGATAAGTGGTACTCTGCGGCCACACAGCTTGAGTCCAACTACAAGCGTGG